GCCCTCACTCGGCCTTGGCCAAGGACAATTGAAGAAAGGAAACCTCAGGAAGCTGCTCAGTTTATTTTTCTGAATAACATTTTTTTTTTTCTGATTTTTTATTTATTCATCCCCCCCCACCCCCCCCGGAACCTTCTATGGTCCTTGCACGGTCGGGCAGCCCGGGCAAACAAGGCCAACCGGGTGGCCCGGCTGGTAGCCTAGAGTAGTAGAGTATAACCGCATTTTTGCAGCACTGACCTTGGCCCACCTCGGTCCTGGGCTTGCACATAATTCCACAGGCCAATTCCCCGGTATAGATGCAAGATGGGCCCTGGGACTGGGAATAAAGGAAATCCCCATCTCTGACCAGGGCGATTTCGGGTTCAAAAACAAGGGGAGAACAATGCCTGCAGGGTGGGGCCAACTGGCGCTAGTCATCTGACTTCTCATCTCAATGCTCAACATTGAATGAAAAAAAAAACAAAAAAAACAGACATGCTGCTGCAGTTGTCTTATCTGACTTATCTTGAACACATACACACACACACACACACACACACACGCACACACACACACACAATCAGTTTTATGTCTGTCAGTCTTTCTTCTGTTGTCTGTCCTCCCTCTTTTTGTGTGCCCAACTGAGCACCCTTAAGTAGTGCCAAACAGTCGGTGGTTCCTCGTTTGGAGTGCCTACTGCACTCTTATGGGGGCTGCTCGGTTCGGGATGTCTGTGTTGCCTGTCGGTAATGACGGATGTTCGTCGTAGCGACTCCCTGGCTCACTGGGTGGTGAGAACCAACAGTCCACGGGGTTCAATCGTGATGTGAGTAGGTCATGTGCTGCTTTGCTCCGTGTTGGATGTGTGGACTTCCTCGTCTGCGCTCCGCCGCTGCCCTGCTGCCTGTCCCGCTTGCTTTGCATGTTGGTTCTTTGCGCGTTGATGTGTTCGCTGTGCGGTGTGGCCATGTTGTTGGTGTTGCCTTGAGCTTCGCTGCGCCGCTGCCGTGCTGCTCATCAGCTGGCCGTGCCTTCCGTGTTTGCTGCTTGCCCTGTTGGTTGGTTGCCTTGTTGCTGGTGCCTTGTGCTCCGCTCCATGGTTGCCGACCTGCTGGTCCGTTCGCCCTGTCGACCCTGCAGAGCTGTTGCCTTGCTTGTATTGTCTTGTGCTTCACTTCACGGTTTCCGCGCTGCATGGCCTGTGCGCCATGTCGTTCCTTGCAGTCGGTTTTCGCGTTGTGCAGCCGTGTTGCCTCTACTGTGTTGCCTAGAGCTCCACAGGGATGCTGCCCGCTGCTATGTTCCGCTTGGGGACAGTCTGCCTTCAACAAGGGTCAAAGGGTTCATGACCTAAACCATCAAATACGGAGATTCTGCAGATTGTCGAGGGTTCAACCTCCTAACTTGTCGGCGCAACTCCGACGAAACAATCTTTCATGATTTGTTTCTTTCGCTTTGTGTCTTTTTGTTGTTTGTTCTTTTGTCTGTCTTGTTGCTGGACTGCCTCTCGACTCTTCCCTTGTTTTACTTGCCTTACTGCTGGTCAGTTTGGTTTTTGTTTTTCTTTTCTTTTTTCTCGGTCCCTGGCTTTTGAAAGTTGGGCATTATAAGCATTCTTTTCTATGGGCATCCCCGGCTGCGGGCTCTTTCCCGGTGTTGTTTATAAGCACACTCTCCGACGCAACATGCTGTGATGCGGTTGCAGAAGCCACGCAATGCGAATAACACACACACACACACACACACACACACACACACACACACACACACTGTCGCATACCGTAACGGTACAGACCAGAACAAGAACCGACCTCTCTCACATAGTACAAGATAGCGCAGCGGAAGGCTAATATACCAATGATCCGATCAATCAATGTCGCAATGCAGACCAAAC